GAATAATGTTTGGTGTAGTATCTTATGCCAGTTATATGCTTTTTAGTACTCAACTTTTATGGTCTTTTTTTAATATTTAGTGATTTTCTCAGTAGCTATCTTTGGGATGACAATTACCATCTTAAACTTGTATCAACCGAATTTCAATAACATGAAAACACTCTGCTACCAGACAGCTCTGTCCTTAGTCATTGTTACAGGTTACATCTTCATACACATGCCCGTTAACATAAACTTAGAAGTACTGTTTTATGCATTTATTTTTAAATCAAAAGAGGACAGAAGAATTGCCAACCAAAAGTACAGGACTGGCTTCCATATTTACCTATGGAGCTGTTCTTTGCAGCACAGGCATACCTTGTTTTCCTGGGCTTCCCTTTATTGTGCTTCTCAATGACACGGCAACCATGCATCGAAGAAGTCTGTGGGCGCCGTTTTTCCAACAGCATGTACTCACTTCATGTCTGTGTGTCACATTCTGGTAATTCTCATATTTCAAACTTTTTTCATATGCTATTGTACACTTAATAGACCTACATATAATGTAAACATATTTTTTATTTGCTTTGAGAAAAAAAGTGTCATGTGACTGGCTTTACTGGAATGTTTGTTTTAATCAAGTGGTCTGGAATTGAACCCTCAATATCTCTGAGGTATGTCTGTATTGTTTACTTCTTCAGGTAGCTTGGAGTTACTGTCTAGTTCCTTTCATTTCAGCCTGAAGCACTTCCTTAGCATTTCTTATGGGATGGGTCTATTAGTAACAAACTCCCTTAGCTTTTGTTTCTCTGAGAATGTCTTAATTTCTGTTTCATTGTTGAAGGATAGTTCTGCTGGATATAGAATTCTTTGTTGACTGTTTTTTTCTTTGGACATTTTAAAGGTGACTCTTCTGTGGCTTCCATGGTTTCTGATGAGAAATCAGGTATTAATCTTATTAAAGGTTTCTTGCACTTGATGAATCAGTTCTGTTTTGCTGCTTTCAAGATTCTTTGAGTGTTGACAGTTTGAATATAATCCCACTTCTGACACCAACTACACAAATGATTTCTTTTAGAAGGATCACCACAAGGCTGGTCTCTATGAGTTGGAGGTTAAACTTTTCCAAATGCTGTACATTTGTTAGAAGTCTGGGGCTATGATTTCTTCAAATATTCTTTCTGACCCTTACTTGTTCCCTTTTCCTTTCAGGACTCCCATAATGCCAATGATGGTCTGCTTGACGGTGTCCCACAGAATCTGTTCACTTTTCCTCATTCTTTTTTCCCTTCTGGTCCTCAGTCTGAATAAGTCCAGTTGTCCTGTCTTCAAGATCCCTGATTCTTTCTTCTGCCCGCTCAGTTCTGCTGTAGGGCTCTGGTAATGAACTTTTCAGGTCCAGAATTACTATTTAGTTCCTTTTTTCTAATATCTATCTCTTTACTGGTATTCTGATTTTGTTCATGCACTGTTCTCTTAGTTTCTTTTGGTTCCCTGCCTTTGGTTTCCTTTAGCGCTTTGAGCGTATTTAAGACAATTGATGTCTCTTCATTAGTAAGTTCAATGTCTGGACTTCTTCAGGGATGATTTCTGTCCTTTTTTTTTCTTTTATTCAGATGGGCTATGCTTTCTAGTTTCTTTGTACACTTTGTGATTTTGTTGTTGAAAACTGGGCATTCAATTATAATGTGGTAACTCTGGAAATCAGAGTCTCTCCTTCCCCAGGATTTGCTGTTCTTGATGGTTTGAAGGCTTAGCTTGTGTTTAGTTTGAGATTTCCTTGATGCTGGGAGATTGTTGTTGTTATTATGTGCCATAGTGATCCTTCCTTGGGTTTCCGAGGCAGTATCACTATGCAGTATCACTATGGAAGTAGATTGCCCAACCTTCCTTCTGGTTAGCAGTCAAGTGCCTTATGTACTATGCCACCAGAGCTCCTTGCTGGGACATTAAGCCCCTTGTTAAAAAAAAAAAAAACCCTTTTCAGTGTTTGTGAATTGGCTGTGTACTAGTGTCCTCCTTTGATGTTCAGGCAGTTTATAATCTTTCCTCAGCCTTCACTTCCTGCTTGCAGTGAGTATCTCTACCAACCAGTGTGAGTCTTCTCAGATCTTTTCTGAACAATATCCTGTCTTGGGCACACATGTGTCTTTCCATTCACTAGTAGACATGAGCACTCACTTTATATATATATGTATGTATATATATATGTATATATATATATAGCTTTAAACAACAAAAACTCATTGCCTTACATTTGTGGAGGCTAGGAGTTCAGTGTGTTAACAGGACCGTATTTTCTGTGTCCCATACATACTCTTTGTTCTTTGTCTCTTCTGGTAGCCAAAGGGGTGTCTTGTCTTGTTACTTTTTATTGTGATTGGGATAAAAGTTGTCAGAGCAAATTCATTTTCCATACAGCAGTTCATACACAAAATGTCTCATGACACTGACTCCAATTCCTCACCTTGTAACAGCTCTCTTCCCATTTCCTCCCCAGCTCTCTTCCCATTTCCTCCCCATAGTTACCTGTTCCCTGTGTCCTTCCCTCCCATGCACTTCTACCTCCTGAGCTGTCTCCCTGTACAAATACTGCCTTTCTGTTCTCCCACAGCTGATTGCTCTAAGGAGTGTATCTACCCGGTGTAAATGTTCACCCCTTATGCCTGTTGTTTGGCTGGAAGCCATGGGAGTGAGTTCAGTTCCAGGCACGAAGGGTAACTAGTGGCCATGTCTTGGGGTTCTCACCAGGCTCTATAATACCAGGAAGCCTAGACATGAGCACTTCTGAATGGTGTAATTTCCCAAGGAATCCCTCTCTGGCCTTAGGCAATCTACTGTGTGTCCTAACTGTAACCTTCTGTCCCAGACAGCTGGCGGTTTTCAGACAGCTTTTCAGTGTTTTTGGGCAAAGCCTGCTTTTCTGTCTGGGGTAGGTTCTAAGTTAGGCAACAGAGTCAGGTACCCTTCCATCAGTCTTCCAGACAGGTTACAACACACACAGTAATTAGCGATAAGGTCGTCTCTGCTCCCTCTGGAAGCGGGCTCCTGCCCTGGGAATGTAGACTGCCACCTTCAAGACTGCTGCTGGGCTGGGGAGGGCACGAGACAAGCACACAGAGATGCAACCAAGTGTCTTACCAATGTTGCCTTTCTTCAAATGCTGTGTTGGCTTGGTTGCTGTGAATCTTCGACCGTTTCACAGCGTTCCAAGAATTTGTTGTTTTTTATTTTGTTGTTTCCGTGGAGGGACAGGGGTTTGAAGCTGCCTACTCCTTTGTTGTGCTGACATCCTACCCTGCAGTGACTCTTCCAGGTTGACCTTGTGTCCCGTAGTCTTGCCAGCTTCTTTATCAGTTGCTGAAAGTGGGGTGTTAGAATCTCCAATTGCAACGATGCAGGTGTTCACTCCTCTGTCTTATTTGTCTCATGTGTGTTCACATCCTGATTACGCGTGGCAAGCCTTTCCTCCGTCCATTTACCCTCTGCTCAGACCTGGGCCTTTAACATGTTCTTGCTGTCCGTGTATCATGGGGCCCCTCCTTCCTCCTTTTTTTAACCCATGTGCACAATCCCTGCCTTTTAACTGGAGTGTTTAGTTCATTGATGTTTAATATAATCAATATGGATAGTTCTTTGTCTCATCTTTGTTTATTCTTTATTTCCTTTTGTATTAGTATTTTTCAAAATTTACTTTACATATTGACTATTAATACTTTTATTTCAATTGTTCAGGACTTATGTGCCACTAGGACTTGAGTGCAGTTGGGATTTTGCATCCATTCTGGGAACCTGTTAGTGATGGGTAGGGGCCTCTCCACCCTCCTTCTCTTCATGTCTTTATGCTTCAAGTTTGGTCATTTCCTTGTTGCATCTTTCAGATGATAGATTGGATTTCTCTTATGATGGCTTGGTTTTATCTGTCATACCTGCTGCTTAACTGATCTTTAGTTCCAATGACTTACTGCTTGATGTTCCATGTAGTGTGTTTTTTGTTTAAAGTAAGCGGGGCACTGGGGCTGGGAGCAGACGGCTGCTGAGTGTTCATGATGCAGAGAGTCAGGAGCCCAGAGCACCTGAAGGTTAACGGGGGTGTGCACACAGGGCAACAGACACCATTGTCTGGCGTGGGCAGCCCTGTGGGGGAGGGCTGGGGGAGGGTTAGAAGCAGAGGCCAGCAGACAGAGAAAAGCCTGTGTGGACAAGAGGCCATGGTGGGACACCTCCATGTGGAAGAGGGCATTTGTACCTGTGCTGCACGGAGTGGGGCCGTTTGGGTGAGGCTCTTGTCTGCTGAGCCCATAACCAGTGGCCCTGGTACTGGACCCACTCCTTCCTGATTTGTGAACAGAGATGGACAGCCCCAGCTTGTGCTAGGGGCCGTGTGGTTCCAGGCTCACAGCTGGAGGGTCCTCTGGAGAGGAAGTGACATGCAAGCGAAGGCTGAAAGGCTCCCGGTGAGAACCAGCACCTCCAGGTCAGAGCAAGAAGGCTGCTCCGGGCCTGCTCCCTCCCAGCCTCACCCTGCAGGCTAGGCCGGCAATCACCTTCAGCTGAACCCGGACTTAAATACTGACATTAAACCAAAGACCTTTATATTCTTTTTTATTTTGTGTAAGTTGCGTATGATTGTCCTATTTTCTTACACACACACAAAATACTTTAGATACCTATGACGTAAGACAGGTAGGAATGTATCCAGTGCAAAAAAAGTGTTCACACCTGTGCACAGGCAGCGCCATCAAATACTGGTCGTTATGTCACCAAAGCCAGGAGCCACACCAAGGGAGGGGATCGGATGGCCAAGCTCTGCAGGCGTGGGCCTTAGTAATTAATTCACCGGGTAGAGCAGGCTTCCTGCAGCACACCTGCAGCTCTGCCCATGGGTGCCCGTGTCTCGCGCAGCAGCCCGGGCCTGGAAGGCTCGCCCGAGAGGCCACCTGGCTCCTGCTGTGGGAGGGGCTGCACAGGCACGGTCACCCAGAGCCCTGCCGAGGGCACCCGCGTGGGCGGTGCTGGGCTCAGTAGGGGATGTCGTTCTGATAGTACTGGATGATGTCGTAGGTCCGGCTCCTGGAAGGCCGAGAGAACACGGCGGGAGGGTGTGGGGGTGTCCCTCCAGCCCCACTCGGATCCCACCCAGAGTCACCCCCGTTCCAGCCCTCCCTGACCCCCGAAGTGTGCACCCACACAAGTCCCTCTTCCCTCCACGTCCCCCCAGCCCCCTCGTCCTCCTGCCTGGGCCCCCGCTTTCAAGGTGCCCACTCCCACTCTTGTGAGGGGCTGCCCAGGGTCAGCGTTTGGGGGTTCGGATGCTTCATCTGACAGGCCCTGGCTCCTGGCATCTGCCTCCCTGCCAGACTCCTCTAGAGTCTCCGTGTGCAGGGCCCACAGATGGGTGGCCTTGCCCAGATCCCCACCGTCTTTAGACGCCTCGCCACCCTCTTAACCCAAACCCCACCCCTGCCGGCCCCACTCATCCAGCTGTTCTGGCCACGGCCATCCACCCTCAAGCCACATCCCAAAGCCGTCTCCCTGCTCTCCCCTCACACCCACCAGTGAGTCCTGGGGCTCTGCCTTTAAAACCTACCCTAACCCTCCCATGGGCTGCACCTCCCCTGCTCCGCCCGCAGCCGGGATGGGCGTGGGTGTGGAGGAGTGGGGGACCGACTTCCCAGCCCCAACCTGGCCTGAAGCGGGAGCCACCTCGGCCCTGGCCCCGCTGCCGGGTCTGGACTCACTCTGCTTCTGCCGCAGGGTCAGTCCCGACCCGCAGGCCAGCCTCCCTGCAGCCCCTGCCCCTTGGGACCAGCATCTGCTGCTCTGTGACGCTCCCTCCGCTCAGAAGAGTGGCCCCGGAGGAGCAGCTCTACGACACCCTTGCCCAGGCTGGCCCAGGGAGCAGGTGGGGCTTACCTGTTGCTGAGGAAACAGTTCTGAATGACTTTCATGATGAAATTCGCAGCCTCCCGCTCCGTCATGTTGGGACTAAACCTGTGTCTGGAGGGGGCAGCGAGTCAGGCCCGGGGCCGGGGCCGCGTGGTGGCCGACCCTCCCCAGTGTGATGGACGCTTCCCTTGGGGAGAGTTTAGAATGTGAGAACTTATGACTGATGGTCCCCCTGGAAATGTCTGGTCCTGAGACCCTACGTCAAGGCTGGAGGAGTGTTTGAAGACCCAGCCTGGCACGTGGTGAGTACAGTGTTCCTGGTTGGCTCTAAAGTGCCCTGTTCGCCTACCAGCATCTCCTCCTGGCCACAGTGGGCCCCACCCACTGCCGTGGGGCTCAGGGACCCGGAGGCAGGGCTAGGAGGTGTATCTGAGGACAGACTACAGGGCCAACTCCTCAGTGTGGCTGGCTAAGGCTGGGGTGCCTCACAAACATGGTCTGTTGACCACGTCTGCTTTGGGGAAGGCCCTGGAAGCCTGTGGCCTCTGGAGCAAACACAGCTACAGACCCTCAGGAGGCTGTCAGTCGTGGGTGACACTGAGGCTAATGGACAGCTGTCTCCCAGTGGCCTGTGTCTGCCATGGACCTACTTCAAGAGCTTGATTGTCTGGCCTCGGAAGCAGGGCAGGCCCGTGTCCAGCATGAGAGTGACCAGCGAGACGACAGCATCCATGTAGGGCCTGGGAGAGACGCGGGGAGGTGGGCAGGGTGGCCCGAGCAGGTGCGGGCCTGGCCCTGCCCTCAGGCTGCAGCTGCCTGCTGCCTGCAGCCCGGTGCAGGTGTTCTCGTGTGTCTGGCTCCCGGCGCCCTCTTCCCACCAGCTCTGCGGCCCCAGGGCCCGGCACACCAGCCACCAGGTGGAGCTGGGGTCCAAGGACCAGGCTTGCCCCAAGTGTCTAGCTGGGCAGGGCTGTTCATAGTGGGTACACACATGTAGTGACACAGGCTCTGGACACGTGGACAGTGCGACTCCAGATGCCACCACCCTCAGTGACACTTGAGAGGTGGGCCACGTGGAGTAGCAGGCCCTCAGCTTTGATGGCACACGAGCAGAAAATGGGCCTAAGGGCGTCGGCAGCAAATGGGGGAGCCCCAGGATGTTGTGGGGCGCACGAGCCGCGGCTGGATGGGGCCGAGGCAGCAGGAAGCCAGGCCTGCCCACCAGCTGTGTGGCCGCCAGCACTTCTTGTTTTCTTTGTCCCTCTGTCCCTTCATGCACAATCAGGCCCAACAATGCCACCAGAGGGCTTTCTGGGGTCACCCAGGATGGGCTTGGGGTGCCGGCCCTGGGCCTGGCACTGAGCTGCCTGTGGTTAACCCCCCCTGGAAGCCCACCCTGCCTGGGGAGTGCCCGGCCTGCCCTCGGCCCTGGGCTCACCTCACGGCCAGGTAGCCACGGACACACATCTCCATGAACCACTTGAAGGGCGTGGCCTCCATCTTACCGCCCATGATCATGACCATCTCGTCTGTCAGCTTAATGTCCGGCTCCCAGCCCAGGTTGCCGCCCGGGGAGCTTTCAAACATGAAGCCGAAGTCTGCAAACCCCCCCCCGAGCCAACAGTGAGTGACAGCCTGCCAGGAGGGTGCGTGTCGCTGGGCAGGCTGGGGGTCTGAGCAGCACCAGTGCCCACCGCACCCACAAGCAGGGCCACAGGAGTGTGTGCGCGTGGGCAGGAGGTGGGGGAAGAGTGGGAGACAGAGGGGGGAGACAGGGAGAGGGGAGAGGAGAGGAGGTCACAGCCTGTTGCAAAAACCAACCAGGGCGGCACCAGTACGTGCCGGTCTGCTGCGTGTTCAACAACCCTGTGGGCAACCCCGCCCCGGCAGGGCTCCCACATCCCCGTAGGCGGCCCTGCCCCTCCTGAGCTCTGCTCAGCAAGGCTTTACATTGAACTGGTTCAGTCACAGCTGATGAAGTGAAACGGGAACAGACTTGAACTTTAGAAATGTGGGTATAATGAGACCAGAAGAACTACACGGTGCCCCACTCTCACTGTCAGCCACTCAGAGGGGGGATCAGTGCAGGAGATCCTGGACAGAGTGGGAGAACAATGTGGAAGAAAACCGAGAATCATGAGGGAAAAAAAAAAAGACCAGGCTTACTGGTCTGATAGAGTCTGGTGAGACCCCTAAGACCATGGCCATATGGGGTGAACATTTACATCAGGCAGATACACTCCTTAGAGCCATCAATCATGGGAGATCAGCAGTGCAGTGTTTGCACAGGGAGACCTTGGGCAGGAGTGCATAGGAAAGGACACAGGGAAGAGGTAACTCTGGGGAGGAAGTGGGAAAAGAGCCGTTTCGTTGTGGGCATGACAATCAATGTCATGAAGCAAAATACGTATGAATGCTGTGCATTTGCTCTGTCAGTTTTCACCCAATCACAATTAAAAAAAAAAAAAAAAAGAATTTGTGGGTGTACCGTCATGGTAACCGGGATGGGATGCTACGGGATGAAGCCCTGGAAGAGGAGGCTGGGAAAAGGTGCAGGGAGCCCTTTCAGGAGCCTGCCTCACTGCCAGGACTGTGGGCAGCGGGACACGAAGCAGTGCGGTCAGCCACCATCCTTGGGGTGGGAACCGCTGTTTCTGACTTCTGACTCTGCTGGTCAAGAGATTTGGTTGCTAGGCAATGAACACACTGTCCTTTTTTTTTTTGAGAGGGAGACTGTGATTCTAGCAGGTTGTCGACCTGTGATTTTTCCCATCCAGGTTAGCATCCTGGTTCACCTACATTTACAATTTTGGGTCCGTTCCAGTCTTACTTCATCATCCATGACTGAACCAGGAAGAACCGGTCTGAAGCCCCACTGCTTGGCCCCGTCAGCCTTGCAGCATGAGGCTGGGCTGCTCTCTGCAGCAGGAAGGTGTCACCCCTAACATGCCCGCCTGGCGGGGCCTGCGGGAGGGGAGGGCGCCAAGGCCGCTGACCGATGTGGATGATATGGCCCTTCTTGTCCAGCATGATGTTGCCGTTGTGGCGGTCCTTGATCTGCAGCAGGAAGAGCAGGAGGCTGTAGGCGGCCATGCTCCGGATGAAGTTGTAGCGGGCCTGCGTGGAGGGCCATGGGCGTCAGGGAGCTCTCGCCGCCCCCACCGGGCTTTAGCTAGCTGCGGAGTCTGGCTGGCACGGCTCCCGAGTCCCAAGACAGGCCTGTTCTATCCAAGGACACGGGAGGGGAGAGCAGGCAAACGCCCAGGGCAGGGGCTGCCGGTACCTGCTGGAAGGCCAGGGTGGACTCATCCCCGTACTGCCGTGTGAAGTAGTCATACATGCCGAAGTCCGTTTGGCGGCCTAACTGGTCTCTCGAGGTACAGTCGGGGATACACTCGATGACCCCACACTGAGGAGGAAGGAGCCGTTGCTGAGGCCGCCAGGGGTCGGGGGGGCAGCTCTTGGGCTGGGACGGCGAGCAGGCCAGCTGGGCTCTGGGTAGGGCACTTACCCCTGGGGCTGTGGCCACGACCCGGTAGGGAAACACGAAGAGGTCAAGGCCGACCAGCTGGAAGATGTTCTTGAACAAGTCGATGATCTGCAGGGCCAGCATGTCCTGGGGTTGACCAGGAGGGCGCTGTCAGCAGCTTGTCATGTCCTCTGCCCACGCCCATGGACGAGGGTGTCAGGGAAGCCACTACCCCTCAGACAGGGCCCTCTGGGTGGCCAGAGGCCCAACGCCACGGCTCCCGCGCTGCACCGAGCTGCTCATTCTGAATGTACACAGGGCCTTGGAGGAGGTAGGCCCGTGCCTCACCTGTCGGCAATCATCCCCAACTTTGAAGATGGCGGCCTGCCAGGAGATCTTCTGGGTGTCAGCCTCCTGTGAACCGCTCTCGTCCAGGTTGGAGCCACACCGTAGCCCTGGGCAGGTGGAAGGCAGGCTCCCGTTACCCAGTGAGAACCCAAGGGTGCAGAGTGGCCATGCTTGGTACCCAGAAGAAACCCCAGGACTACTGGGGTCTTTACAGAGCCCCGAAGGGTGCAGGGAGGGTGCAGCAATGAGGTCCCCACAGAACTGAAAACAGCCTGTTCTCCTCTGTGGTGGGGACCCAGGGGCGTCCAGGGTCAGTGATGCGTACTGTGAGAGTGTACTGCACATGGGGGTGGGTGCCGAGAGAACTCAGGGTCCATGGGGAGGGAAGGTGGGCAGGCCCACCCATATTGGCTGGAGCCCCGCTGCATGGGGGCCACCCCACCAAGAGCCTCAGGCCCTTCAGGCTCGAGAAGGCCCTCCATTTTCTGGCCACGTGTGTGTGGAGGCAGATGTGGGGTAGGCATGTCTGTGTGTCTACATGTGCTGAAGTCTAAGTGAGCATCTGCTCGGACGGGCAGACAGGTGAAAGTCACCTTTTCTGGGGAGAAGGCAATGGCACACACCACAGGAAGTGTCATGAGGGGGAATGCGATCGGGCCCTGGATGTGCTCGGGGTCCCCACTGACCTTCCTTCTCCAGCTCGCTCACCCCACAGCGCTTCACCTTGAACTTGGCCAGGTATGGGGCCTTTGCCGCACTGCAGGGAGAAAGAACATGCCAGAAAACACGAGAGTAAGTGAGAACTCCCGAGGCCAGGATGCAGGATGAGGGGCACCATGCCCCAAGACCAGGACAAGTGGCAACCTACCCAAAACCAGGAGGGGCACTGCACCCCAAGACCAGGACGTGGGCGGAGGGGCACTGCGCCCTGAGACCAGGATGTGGGAAGAGGGGCACTGCGCCCTGGGACTGGGACCTGGGATAGGGACCGTGCCCTGGGACTGGGAAGTGGGAGGGGGTGCCGCACCTCTGCATCGGGGTCCCAGATTTGTAGTCGATGTCTAGGACGATGGCCTCAGGGTTGCTGGGCAGGTAGCAGCCTGGTGTGGGGACAGATCAGAGTCATGAGAGGTCCATGGGATGGCCACTGGAGGGCATGACATCGCCCACAGGTCAGCCACCACGTCCTCCCCACCAGAAAGGGTGGGGCTTGAGGAGCCGGGAGCGCCTCGGCCAGCAAGCATGGAGGACTTCAGGCTGCGGCTGTCACGGGCAGCCCTTCCTGACTCAGCGGCCTCCCACGTGGTCCTTGGATATGCTCACAGATGAGCAGCAGCCCCAGGGAAGGGGGCTTCTCTGAGGACTTGCCGAGCCCCGTGGCTCAAAGCCTGAGCAAACGGCTTCCCCACCTGCTGGCCCCAGTGACAGGAGCTGGGGTGGTCCCCTGCAGCCTCTTGCCCCACCCCCACTTGTCCCAACATACCCTGCCTGTTCCCCACTGAAGCTGTCACTCCAGGCCTGTGGGGTGCCAATGTGCCATGTCAAAGGATAAACAGGGTACAGTTCAGGCTTCAGGGAACCTGTCACCAGCCAAGGGGCCGGTGGGTGGGTCACCAGGGGAGCTGCCCGCTGCTGGCAGCCGTGGCAATGGTGGATGTGGTAGTTAGAACTAGGCCCAGCCAAGTTGACACACAGCCTGAGAGGTTGGGCAGCTGCATGGAGTGATTCCCCGTGAGACTGGTCATCTACTCCATGGTGGGATCTACTAGAGCAGCTGAGTAGCGGCCTTAGGAATGTGATCTGCTTCCTGTAGATAAAAAGCTTTGAGAAAGGTCTCAGCTTTTTGGCATGCTTGGACCTTGCATGTCCCTGAGTCTTCATTCAGCACCCTATCATGTTGTCTGCTCATCTTGGGACTGACTCTGAACTTGAAATAGTGGCCTCCCACGTTGTTTGGTAATCTTGATACTGTGTCATTTTACTTGTCGACCTTGGATTTGTCAGCCTCAGCAGCCAGCAGCTGCCTGAGTTAGAAACCTCCAGCTTCAGTGGGCTGAGAGCAAGCGGCAGAGCTGAAGCCCAAGGTTGAGGGGCCTTCACCTAGCCCCTAGAGCTGGTACTTTGGACTCAGACTTCTAGCCTCCTAAAGTATAAGAGAAAGAACTCCTCTTTGATAAAGCCACCCATTTGCGGTATTTTCTGTTAGAGTGGTGCTAGGGGACTACCACAGGGTGGGCTTGGGGGAGTGGCCTGGAGGGGGCCTCTTTCACCCGGGCCAGGCCCTCCCTGACCCCCTGGGCCTGTCTCTCCTCTGGTCTAGAACCCTGCTGGCTCCCCAAACCCAGCTGCATGGTCTGGTGTGAAAGCCCAGGGCCTGGAAATGGGGTGTCTGTGTGCAGACTCCCCAGCCTCACTCTGTGGCAGCTGTGCACACCTGGGGCGGGAAGGCAGAGGCCCCACCTGAGTTCCCAGCATATTTGGGAAGCTGAGCCCTTGAGGAAGCTGAGGCTGGGCCAGGCCAAAGAACCTGTTACAGTGGGAGCCTCCCGCTGGCCACCCCACGGAGACTGGCCTGCTTCAGTGTCCCCTCGTGCGGCCAGGGAGCTGCCACATGGCTGAACATGGACAGCGGTGCAGGGAGGCACAGAGGACATGGCCACGCGGGGCTGAGCGCTCCTGCCGTAGTCACGACCCTGGCCTGCTGCTACACACTCACTGTGTGGCCTGCATGGCTCCTGGCCTGCGGGACTTAGGCTCCCCCCTGCTGTGAGGGCTGTGCTGCCTGGGTCATGGTAAAACTGCAGGCAGCCTGGGAGAGGGGCTGCTGACCAGTCCCCAGCTCATGGGGGCCTGTCTGGAGAGAACTGGGGCTCTTCTGGGAGTGGAGTGTGCTTGGGGGGCCAGGTCAGTCTCCACAATCCCCCACCCACCCTGTGCTGCCCGCTCACCCACAGGAGGCCGGGCTCCGAAGCTTCCCCGCTTACCTGGCTGTACTTTGACCTCAGACAGCGCGGACAGGCACGCCTTCTTCCTCTCGTCACCTTTAGGGTAGGGCCTGAGGAGTGGGACAGAAGTGCTGTGTTCAGGCCTGCCTGTCTACGGTGCTCACACACACCTGGGGGAGACCCAAGTCCTTGTAAGAGTGCACGGCTCTTGGGGGACTAAGAGGAGCTTCTCAGGGCCTCAGGTTGGGGACACGTCTAGGAAGGTATGGGGTAGGAGGCAGGTGGCTGGGGGGTCAGGCTGCTTTTGGCTCAAATTTCAGCTCTTTACACGTGCTGTGTGGCCAGGAGCCCCTCACCTGGCACATGCCTGGTCAGTGCTAGGTCTCCTGCCCCATTATCTCTGTGGGCTGCAAGCAGGGAGCTCGCTCCACTCAGTGTCCTGCCATGAGGTGGCCTTGGGGACAGGGGGTGGACAAGGGGTGCCCAGTAAGAGAAGCCTGGTCCCTGTGCTGCCCACAGGCTGGGATGCGCTGCCACGTGGTGGCCATCATGGACGATGCCAGGACCTTATACAGAGGGACAATGGTACAGACGCCAGGGGACAGCATCAGAGCCACGTGAATGGAGGGCCCAGACGATGGCCGTGCACGGGGAGCTGGGTTTCCTAATCCCACCAGGATCCTTCATACCTTGGAGGAGGGAGCAGAGGGGCCTCCCACAGTGGGACATTCTAGGAAGGAAAGTGGGTTCGGCCATGGAGACCCGTGCAGCTGTGAATGGGCCACACTTGCACGTGGCCCACGGCTCAGCAGATCTTCAGCCCTCCAGGGTCCTCCAGTCATCTGGTCTGAAGGGGGCTAGAGCCTGGGCCAGGGCTGGCTGGCCCAGAAGCAGATGTGAAGCCATTTCTAAACCCTGAGGCTTACTTGATGATGGCTGATACGTTGGTGATCTTGTTGAAGAAGTCGAATTCCCGCTGGTAGAAGTCCTTGGCTGGGCCTGACAAGGAGCTCGTGATCTCGTCCACCAGCTGCTCCAGGAGGTCACCGATGTCAGCTGGGGGAGACCAAGAGAGAGCTGGGCCAGAGACCGAGAGAGCTGGGCCGCAGAGACCGAGAGAGCTGGGCCAGAGACAGAGAGAGCTGGGCCGCAGAGACGGAGAGAGCTGGGCCGCAGAGACGGAGAGAGCTGGGCCAGAGACCGAGAGAGCTGGGCCGCAGAGACCGAGAGAGCTGGGCCGCAGAGACCGAGACAGAGCTGGGCCAGAGACAGAGAGAGCTGGGCCGCAGAGACAGAGCTGGGCCGCAGAGACCGAGACAGAGCTGGGCTGGGAGGAGCAGAGACCTGAGCTTGGGGAGAGATGGGGAGCACGGGTTGTGTGGCAGGCCTGCAGCTACCCAGCAAGAAACCAAACTCAAAAGAACCAAACTCACTGTCACTGAGTTGATTCTGACTCATAGTGACTATCACTGGGTTTCTAAGGCAGTAAATCTTCATAGAAATAGATGGCCCTGTCTTCCTTCTGCAGAGTGGATGGTGGCTTTGAACTGTCAACCTTCTGGCTAGCAGTCAAATGTCTTATATACTGCGTCACCAGAGCTCCTTAGCAAGAGACCAGCAGGCCTGTTTTCAGACACTCGGCCCCCAGTACTGTCAAACATCAAAGCCAACTGTTTGCAAAGTGGGGCCCGTGGATCTGAGACCTGTTCAGTGGCCTCTGTGGTCAACACCATTGCGAGATGCCCCCTGCCTCTCTCACTGTGGGACACAGGTTGGGATGATGGAAAAGCGACGGGCCCTTAGCAGATGAGGCTGTGGCAGCCAAGCATACCAGCTGTCCCTGGGCTTTTCTTTGAGGGCCACTCAACAAGGTCTTTACTGAAGCAGCGAAAACCAGAGTTTGGTTACAGGCTCCCCGGGAGCACCATGTGTCTACTGTCCCACGTGGGGCCACTGAGTGCCTTAAGCAGTCACTGTGTTTGGAACTGCGAGGCCATCTCAGGAAAGTGCCTGTGTGTTGGCATGAGCTGTGAGCTAAGCCAGTCCCTTTTCACTGAGCTCCACTTTAGAGGGAATGACGAAAAAATATGAATCTTCACGCTTAGGGATCTGGCAGATACTGTCTTAAAAATGAACAAAGTGTGCCTGCCACTTAGAGGGGGGAAGAAAAGAACCAACAAGGCAGACCACTGCCTAAGTCGATCTGACTCCCAGTGACCCCAGGTGTTACAGAGTACAGCTGCGCCGTAGGGTTTCTTGGCTCCAACTTAAAAGATTTTTGGAAAACTTTTATCAGCCACAGTGAGTGAGGCGGCTCCCAACACTTGAAAACCCTGCTGCTGAGGTCTTGGGCAGGGTAGGAATAAGGTACAACAAAACTCAAAATAATAAAAAGACCATACTTCCTTGTCTGACAGCGCCTGTTGAGACCCCTGAGACTAAGACCCCTGGTTACCCTTCGGGCCTAGAACTGAACTCACTCCTGTGGCTTCCAGCCGAGCAACAGACATGCATATGGGGTGAACATTTACATCAGGTAGATACACTCCTTGGAGCGATCATGGGAGAAGAGAAGGGCAGTGTTTGCACAGGGAGACAGCTTGGGGACGGGTGTGCACGGGAGGGAAGGACACAGGGAAGTAGGAACTACAGGGAGGAAGTTGGAAGACAGCTGTTGCACTGTGGGAAGTACAGTCAATGCCATGAAACAAAATGTGTATGAACCGCTGTAGAGAAGAATTTGCTCTGTCAACTTTCATCCAGATCATGATAAAAATGAGAAAACCAAAACCAAAACCAAAATGGCAGCATTTGCCCAGGGAGAAAGTTCAGGAAGGGACAGGGAAGGATGAGAGGAGATGGTTACAGGAAGAAGCGGGAGGAGGGCTGTTACCTGGTGGAGGTTAACGAATGTCACAGAACTGTGAGTGGCTGAGCAGAAAACCAACCTACTGTATAAACCTTCACCCAGATTGGGGGAGAAAAAATTACATATGTATAAATATATACGTATGTATATATACACATATATTAATATACATATGCACATATATATATAAATTTCCCTCTCCAACTCTGCATCTTTGCGAGACCTCCTTTCCCTCATTTGTTTTGCTGAGAAGCGACTTCGCAGTGGATTCCATGCAGAAGTGGGCGGAGCACCCAGCTGTCTCCCTCAGGGCCCAGCACTGAGATTTGGAAGAACGTGAGATAATAACTCTGCCCT